ATAATAGTGTGTAGCGTTATTAAGATCCTATTGTCTGCCCTTAACAGCTGTCCCTTCACACAGTAACATCGCCAAGGTCGGATGCTGGTTTCAGTATGTTTACATTCCAGAAGAGGAGAAGAAGAACGCTTTCCATTAATTAATCAAAGTACTTTATTCGTGATAAAGCTAATCAGAGCATATGTTGATCATTAATAATCAGGTGAATGATCTGTGAAATAAAGATGTCAGGAGTTATGTGTTTAATGAATAAACAGGACTGCACCAGACAGACTGATCTGCATTGACATGGAAACGCATGACACATTGTTTTCAACCAATCAGAACTTTCGTCTGTCATAGAGAGAATCTGGGTTGTTTACTGAAGTTGTCCAATCCGGTTTACTAAGATTTGTAAACAACTAGGGGATATAAAACAAGGCAACGCCATTTTATACTCAGTTCCATTTTAACCTCAGCTCTGTTCAATCTGAGCTCCAAAGGAGTTACATCATACTCTCAACGTAGTTTTCAACCAGCTCTCAATCCATCACCGCCAAAGGAGAGGTACAGCCTGGCCAGATGTACTTTCTACTTTAAGCTGAGAACTGTCAAGCTGGAGATTTCCGTCGTTTGAACAACAAGACGACGTTCCTTCAAAATAAGAGTGAACTCGCTGACGCCTGCCGCTGCTACCGGAGTCGACCCACAGACGGGCTTTGTAGTGCTGCGACCGCTGTTTCACCAGCTCCGGTACATCCGAGGGTCCGAGGACCTGGCATTTCCTGATCTACACGGGAGGCTCCACAGGGTACGTGGTTACGGCAAAATGGCGGCTCATGTCATCAGCTTCTGAAGCCTCGTGGTAGCCTAGTCATAACAACCAGATTCGCTACGCCAGCCTAGAGATTCTGAACAAAACACACACCCACACGCCAACACTATAACATTCAAATCCATATGCATCCATCATTGCGATAGTCCTGGTAGATTGTAAGAATTTATAATTATAGAAATTAAAGATTCTTAAATGATCCCAACTCTCTCTTTTCTTGTCTCTCAGTCAATACAGAGTGTTTAAGTAAACTCCCTGATGATAAAAACAACCACTTCTGATTAATTACTTAGATCTAATTACAGTGTATAAATATACAAACTACAGATCACTACAAATAAAACAATGGTTTCTTAGTGAAGCTGCTCTTTACCAATGAGACTAAATGACAGTAATTCAGATTAACTGAAATTTCATGTTGTGTCACTAAATGGTGATGATCTCAACATCAAAACCAAATCAAAAGTAAAGGAAAAACAGTCTATTCAGGTATTAGTCAACATCATTCACCATTTTCATTGCTTTTCAAGGATCACCAGTAGGTTGCCATTTTTAATTTCTACTCTTTCTTACACTCCTCCTTGAACCGTCACCTTATCGTGGTGGAGGAGTTTGAGTGCCCTAATGATCCTAGGAGCTATGTTGTCTGGGGCACTTAGTGCCCCTGGTAGGGTCTCCCATGACAAATTGGTCTTAGGTGAAGGGTGAGACAAAGAACGGTTCGAAGGATCTTTCATGGCGGTTAAAACGAAGAGTCGGAGTACCCGGCCCGGAGGGTTACCGGGGTCCCACCCTGGAGCCAGGCCTGGGGTTGGGGCCCGTGAGCGAGCGCCTGGTGGCCGGGCTTTCGCCCATGGGGCCCGGCCGGGCCCAGCCCGAACCGGATACATGGGCTCGTCCAACTGTGGACCCACCACCCGCAGGAGGAACATGAAGGGTCCGGTGCAATGCGAATCGGGTGGCAGACCAAGGCGGGAGCCTTGGCGGTCCAATCCCCGGACTAGAAAACTAGTTTTTGGGACATGGAACGTCACCTCGCTGGCGGGGAAGGAGCCGGAGCTTGTGGCAGAGGTTGAGCGGTACCGGCTAGATATAGTCGGACTCACCTCGACACATTGCATTGGCTCTGGAACCCGAGACCTGGAGAGGGGTTGGACACTCTACTTTGCTGGAGTTGCTCCGGGTGAGAGGCGGAGGGCTGGGGTTGGCTTTTTGTTAGCCCCGAGACTCTCTGCCTGTGTGTTGGGGTTTACCCCGGGGGACAAGAGGGTAGCTTCCTTGCGCCTTCGGGTCGGGGAACGGGTCCTGACTGTTGTTTGTGCTTATGGGCCAAATATCAGTTCAGAGTACCCACCCTTTTTGGAGTCCCTGGGACGAGTGCTAGATAGTGCTCCATCAGGGGACTCCATTGTCCTGCTGGGGGACTTCAATGCTCACGTGGGCAATGACAGCTTGACCTGAAGGGGTGTGATTGGGAGGAACGGCCCACCTAATCTGAACTCGAGCGGTGTTTTGTTATTGGACTTCTGTGCAAGCCGCAGTTTGGCCATAACGAACAGCATGTTCGAACATAAGGATGCCCACCGGTACACTTGGTACCAGGGCAGCCTAGGTCACAGGTCGATGATAGATTTTGTAGTCGTATCATCTGACCTGCGGCCGTATGTTTTGGACACCCGAGTGAAGAGAGGGGCGGAGCTGTCAACTGATCACCACCTGGTGGTGAGTTGGATCAGATGGCAAGGGAACATGCCGCGTAGACCTGGCAGACCTACAAACGCATAGTGAGGGTCTGCTGGGAACGCCTGGCAGAAGAACCTGTCAAGACGGTCTTCAACTCCCACCTCCGGCAGAGCTTTGACCACGTCCCGAGAGCAGTGGGGGACATTGAGTCCGAGTGGGCCTTGTTCCACTCTGCGATTGTCGAGGCGGCTGTTGCTAGCTGTGGTCGTAAGGTGGCCGGTGCCAGTCGTGGTGGCAACCCCCGTACCCGCTGGTGGACACTAGAGGTTCGGGGAGCCGTCAGGCTGAAGAAGGAGGCCTACAGGGCATGGCTGGTCTGTGGGTCTCCGGAGGCAGCAGACAGGTACCGGATAGCCAAGCGGGGTGCAGCAGTGGCAGTTGCCGAGGCAAAATCTCGGGCGTGGGAGGAGTTTGGTGAGGCCATGGAGAAAGACAATCGATCGGCTCCGAAGAGGTTCTGGCAAACTGTCCGGCGCCTCAGGAGAGGAAGGCAGCAACTCGCTCACACTGTTTACAGTGGGGATGGGGAGCTGCTGACGTCAACTGAGGCTATAGTCGGACGGTGGAAGGAATACTTTGAGGAGCTCCTCAATCCCACCAATGCGCATTCCGAGGAGGAACCAGAGCTGGGAGGCCTGGGGATGGACTGTCCGATCTCGGGGGCAGAAGTTGCTGAGGTAGTCAAACAACTACACAGCGGCGGAGCCCCGGGGGCGGATGAGGTTCGTCCTGGGTATCTCAAGGCTATGGATGTTGTAGGGCTGTCATGGTTGACACGTCTCTACAACATTGCGTGGTCATCGGGGGCAGTTCCTAGGGAGTGGCAGACCGGGGTGGTGGTCCCCATCTTTAAGAAGGGTGACCTGAGGGTGTGTTCCAACTATAGGGGGATCACACTCCTCAGCCTCCCTGGAAAGGTCTACTCCAAGGTACTTGAGAGGAGGGTCCGATCAATAGTTGAATCTCAGATTGAGGAGGAGCAATGTGGTTTTCGTCCTGGCCGTGGAACTGTGGACCAGCTCTATACCCTTGCAAGGGTGATGGTGGGGGCATGGGAGTTTGCCCAACCAATCCACATGTGCTTTGTGGATTTGGAGAAGGCTTATGACCGTGTCCCCAGGGGCACCCTGTGGGGGACGCTCCAGGAGTATGGGGTGGGTGGCTTTCTGTTAAGGGCCATTCAGTCCCTTTACCAGAGGAGCGTGAGTTTGGTCCGCGTAGCCGGTAGTAAGTCGGACCTGTTCCCAGTGAGGGTTGGACTCCGCCAGGGCTGCCCTTTGTCACCGGTTCTGTTCATCACTTTTATGGACAGAATTTCTAGACGCAGCCGTGGTGTGGAGTGTGTCGAGTTTGGTGGCAGGAGAATCTCGTCTCTGCTTTTTGCGGATGATGTGGTCCTCCTAGCTTCATCCAGCTCTGACCTTCAGCTCTTGCTGGGTAGGTTCGCGGCCGAATGTGAAGCGGCTGGGATGAGGATCAGCACCTCCAAATCTGAGACCATGGTTCTCGACCGGAAAAGGGTGGCTTGCCACCTCCGGGTCGGGGGAGAGGTCCTACCTCAAGTGGAGGAGTTTAAGTATCTCGGGGTCTTGTTCACGAGTGAGGGTAGGAGGGATCGGGAGATCGACAGGCGGATTGGTTCGGCGTCTGCAGTGATGCGGACGCTGAGCCGATCTGTCGTGGGGAAGAGGGAGCTGAGCCAGAAAGCCAGGCTCTCGATTTACCGGTCGATCTACGTCCCAATCCTCACCTATGGTCATGAGCTTTGGGTAATGACTGAAAGAACGAGATCGCGGATACAAGCGGCCGAAATGAGTTTCCTCCGTAGGGTGGCCGGGCTCAGCCTTAGAGATAGGGTGAGGAGCTCGGACATTCGGGAGGGACTCGGAGTAGAACCGCTGCTCCTCCGGATCGAAAGGAGCCAGTTGAGGTGGTTTGGGCATCTGGTCAGGATGCCTCCTGGACGCCTCCCCGGGGAGGTGTTTCAGGCATGTCCTGCCGGCAGAAGGCCCCCGGGTCGACCCAGGACACGTTGGAGAGGTTACATCTCCAATCTGGTCTGGGAACGCCTTGGGGTCCTGCCGGAGGAGCTGGTGGACAAGGCCGGGGAGAGGACGGCCTGGAGCTCCCTAGTTGGGATGCTGCCCCCGCGACCCGGACCCGGATAAGCGGAGGAAGACGACGACGACGACGACTCTTTCTTACAGAAAACACTGTTTCATGTGTGAGATGCCCAAAGGACCTCGGGAAGATTCTGTTGAGGTTAGAGCAAAGAGGTATGCTACAGAACGTCTTTGGAAATGCAGAGAAGTTAGTGTGAATATGCAACTCTATGCATACATATGTGCAATAAGATGAGTTGGAATCATCTCGTTTGTGTTTCTACAAAGCAAACATCCAGTTAGGTTTTGACCACAATGTGAAAACCACTTTTCTTACATACCTTCGGTGGACTCTCAGATCCAGGGTATTCCCGCTGGTCTAGTTTGTTCCAGCGTTGCATCAGCTTTATAACTATCGGTTTGCTAAAGTCCACCAGTTGGAAACCAGTCACGTTTGCCCCACCGTGCATAAATCTCTCCAGGGATATGTCCTTAAAACCCTGAAAGAAGACAAGGAAGGATGAAAAATAAAGAAAACAAAAAGCCAAACCAGTTGATGAAGAGTAGAACTATACAACCTCCCCACGCACAGTGTGAGCACCTTAGCTGGACAGCTGATTCGTAACAAGCTAAATTGATCATCTACACTGTAGCTTAATCTGGAGTGAGCTCCACAGCTGTGTGTGTGAGACCGTCCACTGAGTGACACCTCGTAGTGAGGTGGTGGTTGAAGGGAACCAATTTGGAAGCGGACCAAAGACGGAGGTAGAGTGTTAAGACGTGTGAGCGTTGAACGGGTGTTGATGGATGCTAATGGCTAAAAGCTGTGAAAGCCTATTTAGCTTACTCTGAGCTCAGATGCTCCTTTTCACTGTTGCTGAGAGAAAGACTGTTAAACAGACTTTAGGGATTAGGTTTGGAGTCATAATTTATTTACCGATATGGTCCAACTGACAGCAGAGACCTTGTCAAAAGGAGACAGATGAGGAAGTATCATAAATAGAAAGGGGCTTTGTGGGATTCGAAACAGGAGTTTTAAGAATAGAAAACGTTTGTTTCCTGTGGCTTTATAGTGACGTACGAGCATTACAAATAAGTGTTTTATTGTGAGGAAAAAGTAGTCCAGCACAAAACTAGGGTTTGTGTCCTGTGTGAGGAAATAAACTCAATGTATAACTATAGAGGCAGGGTCTATTGTCTTTGGTCCTTCAGTGAAACCATCACATTTTTGTGTGATGGTAACAAGGACAAGAATTCTTTCTCAGGATTCCTGCTATTGTATGAATGGAGATACACTCTTAAAAAGAGAAATAGAGACTAGTTCTTTTTCTCTCTGCACTATATTTAATAGAAATATGACTCAAGCTACGTTTGTCCCCTAAAAAATGCCAACAAACAGATGCCACAAAACCTTTCAGGAAAAAAAAGTATCTTTTGTTGGAAGATTTTACGTAATGTAGTGAGCAATCGTAGCTTTGGTATAACAGACGCTTCACGTGCTAAAATGCAGTGTTGGGGAGAATTCTTTGTAAACATATTTAGTTACAGAGTACTGAAAAACTGCTGTAAAATGTATTTTGTAACGTCTTCCATTACTTTGTTTGATCCTGGCACTGTGTTCTGAATATTTTAAATAATTCCTCTTAAAAACAGCATTTAGGTCTATTAAATGTGCTGGTAGCTACTCCCACAGGAAAATAGAGGGCAAATAAATGCTAAAAAAGTATGTACTGAATGGGGGAAAAAATACATAAATATATTTGTTACTTTATTTATCCAAGTGTCAATAAATTACATTTCTAGGATGTTACACCTTCTTTGACAGTGTATGGCGGAGTGCCCCACGAGTCGTGACTGACATCCTTAGCGGTCCAATTACAGTGCTCTGTCTGTTTGGTGAGCCAGCACTCTGTTGGTGGGTGGGATGTTACTGAAAAAGCAAAAATAGCGGCTGCTCGAAATGGCTTTAGCATCAACTTTGGATTTTCTTTGAGTCAAGAGCAAAAAGAGGATCTTATGAGCATTTGGAAAAGGATGTATTTGCGTCTTCTTTGATGGAGTATGGCAGACTGCCTCGTTGACTGACATCCGTGTAGCGATGAGTACGTGATGTTGTTTGTTATCCAATAGCAGAGACAGTGTGAAAGACAACTGTAGATCCTGCCCCACAACAGAGTATGTATTCACATATATTGTTTGCCAGCCTGGGAAAACACTCAAGTATTTCAAAGGTTTAAAAATAGTAACTGTAACAGAACACAGTTACTCATAATTAGTATTCTAAACATGTAACGGTGGTGCAAGTATTCCATTACTTCCCAACACTGCAAAAAAGTTAGTATATCTAATAAGCTCTCTTATGCATTTGATTTGTATTATTAATATATAAAATACATAACACAAAGACAAATGAGGATCAGCACCTCCAAATCTGAGACCATCGTTCTCGACCGGAAAAGGGTGGCTTGCCAACTCCGGGTCGGGTGAGAGATCCTACCTCAAGTGGAGGAGTTTAAGTATCTCGGGGTTTTGTTCACAAGTGAGGGTAGGAGGGATCGGGAGAAAGCCAGGCTCTCGATTTACCGGTTGATCTACGTCCCAATCCTCACCTATGGTCATGAGCTTTGGGTAATGAACGAAAGAACGAGATCGTGGATACAAGCGGCCGACATGAGTTTCCTCCGTAGGGTGGCCGGGCTCAGCCTTAGAGATAGGGTGAGGAGCTCGGACATTCGGGAGGTACTCGGAGTAGAACCCCTGCTCCTCCGGATCGAAAGGAGTAAGTTGAGGTGGTTTGGGGGTCTGGTCAGGATGCCTCCTGGACGCCTCCCTGGGGAGGTGTTTCGGGCATGTCCTGCCGGCAGGAGGCCCCCGGGTCGACCCAGGACACTTTGGAGAGGTTACATCTCCAATCTGGTCCGGGAACGCCTTGGGGTCCTGCCGGAGGAGCTGGTGGAGGTGGCCGGGGAGAGGACGGTCTGGAGCTCCCTAGTTGGGATGCTGACCCCACGACCCGGACCCAGATAAGTGAAGGAAGACAACGACGAGACGACGAACACAAAGACAATTTCTCAGATTTCTATTAAACAGCAAATATGAGAAAAAATAAACTACCAGACATTTTTAACAAGTAATAAATACATTGTGCTACAGCAGAGGTCAGTCCTGATCCTGATGCATGTATTTTTTGTGTATTTGCATTTTACTTCCTGTATCTTTTCTGCTGTTTTTTTTCTGTTTCCAAAACTGAGCCAAAACGAATAAAATGGATTTTCTTATTGTTACATTGATACATGATGACAAAACAGTGCTTCTTTATTACTTCCATTGTCAGCCAGTTTTTTATAGCTAAAGGGAAATAATATACATCTTCCTTTTATGTCTACACAGTTTGGATTATTGAAATATTTTTCTCATGCACTTACTTTATTTCAACAAATCTCAATATTGGCAACAGCTGCAAGTATAACAATATCAAAACTACTTACCAGGTTTGCTATGATGTAATGGTAACCTTTCACGTGTTTCCCAACGCTGACAGCCTGGAAACACAGAGAGGGCACATTAATCTATTTCCTTCTCCTAGATGTAGTGTGGGAAAACAAGGGTTCAGCAACACAGTTGGGAATCCAGACAAATAAAGCAAATGTCCTTCCATCTGTTGCTCCCTGCCTAAACAGTCATATTTTATCACAATGATTATACACAGTGGACATGTGATTTTTTGTTGTACAACTCCATCTGAAAAGGTTCAAACCCTGATGGTTTACCTTGCTTTGCTAATGAGCTTGTGTTTCTAGTGACTCAGCTCTAAAATCATACCAATAATAACGGCTTTCGTTTAGAACTTTGTGAAATATTTGACAAAAGACAATGATGCATAAACCTAATTAGGAAACCGCTCACATTTTCAACGTGTCTCTAGTCTCGCGCAAACACACACATACACACACACACACACACACACACACACGCGAGAGAGATTGCAGCTGGCAGGGGCAGGTGAACAGAACAGTCTGTCTCAGAGCGGAGACATTCGCCCATGCCAGCACTGCAGAACTGACTGTTAGGGGAGTGTGTGTTTGTGTGTGTGTTCCTGTGTTATTTAGGCGAGTATGTGTGCACATGTGTGTCTGTGTTCAGCCACTGCGAGCCAATTAGGAAACAGTCTTTGTCTATTTGTCAGTCTGACAGGGATGCTACTATTATTGTATGTGTGTGTGTGTGTGTGTGTGTGTGTGCGTGCGTGCGTGTGTGTGTGTGTGTGTGTGTGTGTGTGTGTGTGTGTGTGTGTGTGTGTGTGTGTGTGTGTGTGTGTCTGAATTTCAGAAGCCGACGTTTGTCTCAAGTACAACCATGGATCAGAGGACAGTTTGGATGGCAGAGAAAAACAAACAAGTAAACAAACTAAAACAGTTTTTTCTTAATCGTTTGTTTCATTCCAGGCGGAGGACAAAAATCCCACATGTAATCTTATCAGCACCAATTAATTGTCTAAAAAAATCATAATTCAGTTTCTTCACTTCAGATATGCAGGACTGTCACTTTTATCCTTTCTCTTCTTGAGCGTATACTTACAAAGATCCTTTCACCTGGCTTCTTTTGGGTCTAGCAGCACACCTGTTGTTCATCCACTAATCAACCTGGCAGTGGATCAAGCCTATCTTCGCCACCACTCCTCTCCAGATTACTGTTCAACCTTCTCTGTAACACTCCCGAGCTGGTTTTCCCTTTTGAAATTCCCTTCCAATAACTTATTTCCTTCTGTCTTTTTTCAGCACCAAATGTTCTAGTCACGAGAACTCATGCTCATCAATAAGAGGTAGCTCTTTTGGTTTCCATATGGCCCTTCATTTGTCATTTACAAAGAGATCTTCTCTGCTTTGAAGGCTGATATTAGTGCAATAAATGCAAATACACCACTTGCTTCTATCTTTGTTTAAAGTAGACAAATTGTGACTTATCGTTAGTTATAATAGTTCTGTGGTTGATACAAAACGTGTTCATGAAGCTCTTTATGTAAAATCCCTCTCACATAAATCAATCAGTACCTTTCACAATGAGCTGTTTCAAGGTTCTGTCACTTTCAGAAAAGTAGCTGAAGCTGGCCACTCCCACCTATACCTGGATCAGGTTGCTATTAGCTGAGCAGCTCTGATATCCAGGAGGGGCTCAGATTAGAGCTTATGCTCCTCCAGCAGCTGCCCACTTGCGCGTAAGAGGTGATTCTATTGTAATTTCCCTGATTGTGAGGTCACAAACAGGGACTTTTTTGAAACTGCTTCTGTTAGGCACATAAATCCTGAAACCAGAAACTGTCATGGCTCTGCTTTTTCTCTGCTGCTGTGCTTGTGTTTGCAGATGAGCAGGTTGGAGAGCCACAGCTGCAGCTGATTACCATTCAGCCAGGCCAGAGGATATAAGGAGCTGTGTTGCCACACTTCAGCGCCGGTTGATACTCTCATGTTAGGTACTCTAGCTCTCCTCGTTCCTGTTTGGATCCTGGTTTCCTCCCCTGTGCTCAGTTTTTATTCTCCTTGTCTGCTCCAGTACTGGATTCTTACCTCAGCTCCCTGCTGTCTGAAGTGGATTTATTACCCAACGCCGCTCAACTCGTCTGGTCTCCCGCTCTCCACCTCTCACCTGTCCTGGATTACTCCACTACCTGCTACTCCTCTCCACCAGACCATCTCCAGCTCAGACCCCCACTTCACACAGTAAAACTCCGCCACCATTACTCCACAGAGTTTTCTTGGTTATCAATATTCACTTTGCTATCTTCTGTTTGAGAATCGGACCCCCCCCCCCCCCCCCCCCCCGGCCCAGTTTGGATCAGCGCTTTTCGTTCTTATTAATTTTTCTTTATAATAAAACCTTTACATTTTTACCCCCCTCTCTCTGCGTGTGATTCTTTCATGTGGGCAAAAGACTGCAGCCCATCATGACAGAAACAACATAATATAGACAAACAGGATTTTTCTATGTTTACAGTGTTTAGAGACCCACAAGCCAGAAGAAAATATCATTTCTATAGCGCCTCTCAAGATAAAAATCACAAGGCGCTTCACAAAAACAAACAAATGTAAACATATAAAAAAACATTTAGAAAATGTTTTAAAAGTATATATAAAATGAGCAAATTTTGACAACTGTGATTAAAAAAATGTTGAGTGAAAATGAAAGGGGGAACTCAGTGGATCCTGAGGAAGGTGGAATAGGTGGGGAAAGCAGAAGAAAGAGAGCGGTGAAGAAGGTCATACAAAAGCCAGCTTGAACAAGTGACTCTTCAGCTGCTTTTTATTTTGAAGGAGACCACTGAGTCCACTGATCTCAGGCTCAGGGGGAGAGAGTTCCAGAGTCTGGGGGCCACAGCAGCAAATGATCTGTCACCTTTGGTCTTTAGCCTGGTGCTGCACAACCAGTAGGCTTTGATCACTGGACCTCAGGGACCTGCTGGGGGTGTAGGGACTGAGAAGATCACCAATGTAAGATGGTGCTTGTCCATGTAAGGCCCTATAGACCAGAACCAGGATCTTGAAATGAACCCTGAAGTTGACTGGCAGCCAGTGAAGCTGGAGGAGAAGCGGGGTGATGTGGGTGTGTTTGGAGGACTTGGTCAGAAGCCGAGCACAGGCATTCTGAACCACCTGTAGACGGTTCAGGGAGGTTCTGCTCAGACAGTGAAAATAGGGTTACAGTAGTCTAAGCGTGAGGAGATGAAGGTGTGGATACCTGTCTCAAGTTCAGAGCGGGACAGAATGGGACTCAGCATAGCAATGTTCCTGAGATGGAAGAAGGAAGAACAAACAAGATAACTGACATGAGAATCCAGGGTGAGAGCTGGGTCAAAGGTCACACCAAGATTCCTGACAGAAGGTTTGGTGTGAGAAGCAAGCTGACCAAGAGAGTCTCTGGCTTTGAGAACCAGCTTGTCTGGGGCACAGATGAGGATCTCAGTCTTATCTTCATTCAGCTGAAGAAAGCTCCCAGCCATCCAGGTTTTGATAGTCTAAGCAGGTGTGTAACAGCTGCAGCTTAGACATCTCATGGGGCTTAAAGGAGATGTACAGTTGGATGTCATCTGCATAAAGATGGTAGGAGATTCCTTTGAAGGAGCTCAGGATGTGCTGAAGGGGAAGCAGATAGAGGAGGAAGAGCAGAGGCCCCAGCACAGAACCTTGTGGGACACCATGGGTAAGAGAGGTGGTGGAGGACCTAAACTTGGAGACGGCCACAGAAAAGGAGCACTCAGATAAGAGGAGAACCACTCCAGAGCAGTTCCTGATAGGCCTACCCAGTCTCTCAGCCTCTCCAGTAGCAGGTGATGGTCAGCAGTGTCAAAGGCTGCAGTCAGGTCCAGCAGGACCAGAACAGAACAGTCCCCTGCATCACTGTGAGTCAGAAGTTCATTAGAGACCCTAAGAAGAGCTGTTTCAGTAGAATGAGCTCTACGAAAACCTGACTGGAAGCTATCATAGATGTTATGTTCATCAAGAGCAGCTGTGAGTTGTTTAGCCACAACCTTTTCCAAGATCTTGGAGATGAATGAAAGTTTAGAGATGGGTCTGAAGCTGCTATGGAGAGAGGGGTCGAGACTCGGTTTTTTAAGAAGCGGGTGGATTATAGCGTTCTTAAAGTAAGCAGGGACCTGACCAGAAATCAGAGAAGCATTAATTATAGAAAGCATGCTGGGACCGATGGACTGAAAAGCACTTTTAAACAAAGATGAGGGTAAGATGTCGAGGGGGCATGCAGAGGTCTTCATAGAGTTAACTAGTTTGGTTAACTCAGGCAAAGAAACAGGAGCACAGCTATCTAGGATGATGGGGCCTGGTTGGAGTCGGGAGAGGCAGCGATAAGCCTGAGGGAGAGATGCTAGATCTAACCTTATTGACTTTGTCCACAAAGAAAGTTCTCACAGTCTGCAACAGAGTGGATGGAGGCTGTAGGAGAGGCAGGAGAGACGATACTGCTGATGCTGTTAAACAGCACCTTGGAGTTCCCTTTGCTCTGGGACACCAGGTTGGAGAAATAGGAAACCCTATTGTCTCCGACTGCAGAGTTAAAGGATGTCAGAAGATCCTTTAGGTGCAGCAGATGGACGTGGAGATGGGTTTTCTTCCACAAACGCTCAGTTTTTCTGCATTGGTGCTTCAGGCTGCTAAGGCTGTCAGTAAACCAGGGAGTAGGGTTCAATGCAGGAACTGATCTGGTTCTGACAGGACAGAATGTCCAGAATGGAGAGGCAGTGCTCGTTAAACTGAGAAGTTAAGGAATCTGGGTCGTTATCAGAAGAACAGGGTGGATCAAAAGCAGCAGAAAAATTGCTAGCTGTGCTCTGATTAAGAAGACGAGAACTAACCACACGGCGAGCAGGAGGTGGGGACGCAGAAAGTTAAAGAAAATGCAATGGTGATCTGAAATATAATTGTCCTCAGGACAAACACTGTCAGCATTTAGACTCAGGATAAAAACAAGGTCTAGAGTGTGCCCCCGGTGTGTGTGGGGCCAGAAACATGCTGGGTAAAGCTGAAGGAGTCCATGAGGCTGGAGAAATTCATGGCAAAGAGATCGGAGGGATCATCAACGTGGATGTTAAAATCACCAACAGTCACCAGTCTGGACAGCTTCACAGTGGAGGATAGAAAGTCACTAAACTCCTGAAGGAAAGAACTGTTTGGACCAGGTGGACGATAAACCACAGCACAGTAGAACGGGTCCTTACGCCCGACTTTAATCAGCTACAGTTCAAAGGAAGCAAAGTGACCAGAGGTTGTAGAGCTACATGCATACATACAGCTGCAAAAAGTGATTTTTGCATGTAACTCTGTGCAAAAGCCTGCACAGATTTGCTGCATAATTGGTGCTTTCTGACTAGATTTTTATCTTATTATTCTTACTATCAGTTTTATGGTGTGACCCAACCCAGAAACAGATAACTCTTTGAGGTTTATAAACTTTTTTTGTGGAGGTTTCACACAAAATCTGCACTTGACTTATTTTGAAAGTTTCAGGATATTTTACACTGCTTTTGTGACTGACTTCCTGTCTGGCCCAATCTAAACTGCGGAGTTTGACGTGTTTTGAAAGCATAGCGTGGAAAAAAAATAGACTTGAAACATAATGACAGTGTCTCTTTGGTTCTGAGATTTGCTGTTGCACTTTGCTTCCAGTGAAAAGGAACCCGTCCTCTAAAACGGCGGCTAATTGCAAGAAATGTTTCACTATGCTTTCACGTCCGGTGGAAAGAAGGCTTCACCCTAAAATATTAAAGGCAATGTAAACAACAGGACCACTTCCCTCTGCTCCAAGTTCAAAGTAAATACTATTTAGACTTTTATTTGTCTTTATTTTTGCCTTCAGGTCGACCTCCTCACTCTGATCAGCAACAAGGTATGTTCCCACATTACTGTTTCCATGAAAAAAAGAGAAACTGGAAAACTCCATCCTATGATGGGGCTTGAGTTGGGAACTTTTTGCTGATAATCATAGTTATAACTTTTTTAATTGAGCCAGAAAATACAGTTTTAGTTCTCAAAGGTTTTGGAATAATGATTTATAACAACACTTTCCATAACAGTACATGACAAATGTGCTCATGGATCCATATAAAAGCCATTGAAAAGAGTTTCTGAAAGTGCTTACATCCTAATTTGAACAAATCAGCCAAGATGAATCTTAATGCAATTCCTTCTGGGGCAATAAAGATGATGAATGTCCATAGACTTGTATCGTTGTCCTTTAGAGATTCCTTTTGACACTTTTCCAATACAAAGTACAAAATGTTACAGGATAGCCTGGTTTTATGTTTTTCACTGTATGAAGCACAATAAAACTGATCATATGTGATGTTTTTGTTGTTCTTAGGCACAAGTTTTCAATTTGCAAACGTGGATCTATGGAGAAAGATTGTGACACAGCTTACAGCTGATTGGTCAGAAAACGTCATTGTTCCTGGGTGTAAACAAACAAGACAAGCAAACAAGAAAATCCCTACATAAATGCACCATAAAAACTTTATAATTTTATGAAGTCACTTAGAATTCCAACACACACACACACACACACACACACACACACACACACACACACACACGCACACACACTTGCCTTGATATTTCTGGTTTCACTCTCAAAGAATGCTAGAAGGTTAACAACGGCCTTTTGTCAGACCTTGAGTAAACTGGCATCAGAGGGACTTGAGGTGAAACAATCTATTTTATGGTGTGTCAAACAAGACATTTCTGTTTACGGCAATCAGCTGACCAAAGTAAGTGGCCCTGGAATTTTTCACCATCTCATTCAGAGATGTTTACACTTTCTAATATAGTTGACATCCACCGTCTGTCGACTCTGCAGCATGTCCTTCTGCGACTGTAAATGTTTTAAAAACCCATAACCCATCACCACCTCTGCCCTTCTCACCCTCTCTCTGGCACCTGCCACTGATTGGCACACTTCTGCTCTGAATACATCTTATTGTTTGAAGGTTTGTGGTGGGGTTAATAATCCATCCATTTATTAGTGTCTGCTTATCGGGTCGGGTCGCAGGGTCATCAGTCTAAGCAGGGAGGCCCAGACTTCCCTCTCCCCAGCCATTTGGGTCAGCTCCTCCATGGGAATCCCAAGGCGTTCCCTGGCCAGCTGAGAGACATAGTCCCTCCAGTGTGTCCTGGGTCTTCCCTGGGTTCTCATCCTGATTGGACGTGCCAAGAAAACCTCAGGGCGTCCAGGAGGCATCCTAACCACATTCTCAAGCCACCTCAACTGGCTCCTCTCAAAGTAGAGGAGCAGTGATTCTACTCTGACACACTCCTAGATGAACAAGCTTCTCACCCTATCTCTAAGGCAGAGCCCAGACACCCTGCAGAGAAAAGTCCTTCTGGCTGCTTGTATTTACCCAAAGCTCATGACCATAGACGAGGGTAGGAGTGTAGGTCCACCAGTAAATCAGAGTTTGGCCTTCCAGCTCAGCTTTCCTAATCACAACAGACCGGTACAATGCCCGCACACCTGTTGATTGTTGACTAGGCAAGTCTAGGATGCCTTGCACATTTCATCACACAGTAGTTTATGTTATACACACTAGAAAGATAGGTTGGTGCCACCTATGTAATTTTTGCCTATGCATTTTGGTAGATGAGGAAGAACAGAGTTTTGGTTAGTTTGTTTGTTAAGAAATATTAGACAGCTAGGCCTGGTTTTGTTTAACTTATTTCTTTGATTTGGCACCACCTAACCACCCTCACCTCCCCAGCTCATCAATTTTGTTGGTGTTATTACAAAAAAGCCTGTTTTTAAGCAAGCAAAGACTTTGTCACTCAACCGTGGTTGTCATGTTGCACCCCTCACTCCCTTTCACCTCAACGGTTGTCACACAAGTGGGGGCTCGTCCAGGATCTATTTTCATTGATCTTGACAGCTATAGTAGGTGGTGAGTGCTTTGTATTTTGTGGAAAAATGCGCTTCCACCTTCAGGATTTTGTTGTTGCTCAGTTCTATGAAAAACTCGACGAGTTGTAGAGAGGATTTGTGTATCTCTGCACATGATGATGTTGCAGTTTGTAAGTCAGTCACAAAGGAAAAACTGAAAGCTGAGGTTGTTATGAATGCAAAGTACTGTGACTACTTCAATAATTAAGAAATTACCCCCCCCCCCCATAAATGCAAAGTACTGTTACTTTTTCTACTAATATTGTTATGACACCAGAGGTAATTAATATTAGCAAATCAAATGGAATTGATAAGATATAAACTGTTTATAATAATTCAAGTTATGATGTGTGTGTGTGCGTGCGTGCACACGTGCGTGCATGAATGTGTGTTACATTTGCCCCTGAGTCTGTCAGATGTTCATACACAGGCTCAGATGTGATGACAGCTGGCAGAACCGATTTCGCGTCACACTCTAACCTGAGTCAGGGACCACGCACAATCACACACACACCCCACACCCACATTTTACACCACCTGCCACATCCTGAGTCTCAGCCATCAAGCGAGACAGCTAATGTGATGAACTTAGACAGGCATAAGGCATCAGAGTGCAGTCTTTTATGTAGTGCATGCATTTTTGCACTCCATGGTGGTGTGTGAGCATGGTGTCATTACTTCAGACACACTGATGTTAGGGAAGTCACATTTTTCATTCCACATTATGAACTCTAAGGAAAACACAAATCTTGTTTCCTTTCCAGATGTCAGAAAGCATCTGGAGTGCTGCTTTAACAAGCTGAGGGGAGCCAACAGCCAGAAGGTAAGACACTGACACAGAGAAATAAAAAAAAAACTTATATAATACTACAATAATTAGCAAATATACTTTTATTCTTCAAATAGTCGGATTTTTATCGTCTTATTCTGGTAGTTGAGGCACATAAAAAAAACATGGTGGTTGTATCACATTATTAAATCTGAAGTGCTGCAGTCCTGGTCTGTGATGACATTTCTGCACCGCCTCTATATCTTACAGATTGTAACAGTGCCACATAAAACACTCATATAGCATTACCTTGTGAAAAATGCTAAACCCCACAAAAAACTACAAACAACAACAATGGGCATAACTAAATCTAGTTGTTTTTATGAGTTATATTAATTAATTAGGATATTTATTTGATAGTGTGAATGTCCTCTTGTCAGGTGTTAAAGAGCTTCAGGTGTACATGACTCCTATCTCTGCTGGCTCAAACAAAACTTTGCTTCCAGTTTTCATCTTTTAAGCATTACCTCACCTGTTCGAGGATGTTCTGTAGTCTCTCAGGCTCCAGGTCGATGACGTATTTTTTCTCCTGCCGTCGGTCCAGGTCTTCTAAGAGTCTGCGATATGCTGCGTCGTTGAAGCTCTCCACACAGATCGCACTCACCTGTGTTAGTTTTTTTTAACACATGTTCACAAGAAATATTTAGATTAAAAATATAAATCATGAGGACACCATCTTGCTCATCTTGCTTGTGATCTGTGTTTTCTGGCAGGTTTCCAAGAATGTGTGTGTGTGTGTGTGTGTGTGTGTGTGTGTGTGTGTGTGTGTGTGTGTGTGTGTGTGTGTGTGTGTGTGTGTGTGTGTGTGTGTGTGTGTGTGTGCGTGCGCGCTGACCTGCCATGCATTCTGCCCCGCTCTCTCCATAATTGCCTGCAGTATTGCGTAACCTAAACAACAAAGAGGAGGGAAAGAAACATGAAGAAAAAAATGCAAAGAAACAAGAGATGTACTGCAGCAGAAAGGTAGCTGCTGCTGATGGGAATCAGCAATTTTACTCTTTTCGTGCTTTGAAAAACTCCCACTAAAACTTTTGATTCTTTCTCAGTTACCATCCTTTGAAAATGTGAACGTTAACAATTACATTCTCCAGTAGATTTGATGTCTTTTATCATTCGCTGCAAATTTGGCTTTAGGACATAAGGGCAAATCGCTCACCTGTACAGAAAACTGTTCTGTTGATGATTGCATTTGTATATTTTTTCATTGATTTTACACAAGTAATATATAGCATGATAGACTGATTACCTCAGTTATTTGAAAACATACCATCTATCTATTATCAATCCATTTTCAGCCGCTTATCCAGAATCGGGATGCGGGGGCAGCAGCCTAAAGGTTGGTTTATGCTTGACGCGTCCGCGAGGTCCGCACGGCTCCGCACGGAAAAGTTGCGTCATTTTAACAACCACGCCCCTCCACCGCGCCTCCGCACGGACCAGAATTTCCGCAACGCGCACCTCGGAGAATTTCTAACCACGCGGACGGACGGACGCGGAAAAACATGGCGGACCGGCAAGAACTAGTATGGCAGAGGTTCGTAAATACAGACATTTGTATGATTCAGCTCTCAGAGGTCACCGTGATCAACATGTAGTCAATAATTCTTGCAGAGAAATAGCTCGCACTGTCGGAAAAGACGAGAACGCTGTTAAAAATGCTGAAATGCCATGTTGTAAACAGTAATTGCTACTTCTACTATGGTGTAGTGTTGGATGCATGCCGTAGAGCTCCATGCTGCCCCGTTCAGTTTGGGAGAATATTGGCTCACCGCAGAGATGAGCCGCATGAACCATAAACACTGCGAGTTGTGAAGCGCATTCCATCCGCGAGCCGCATCACCGCGCGGAAAGTGAATGCGTCAAGCATAAACCAAGCTTTAGCCGAGAGACCCAGACTTCCCTCTCCCCTGCCAATTAGAGCAGCTCTTCCGGGGGAATCCCAAGGCGTTTCCTGGCCAGCCGTGAGACATAGTCCCTCCAGCGTGTCCCGGGTCTTCCCTTGGTTCTCCTCCCAGTTGGACTTGGCCAGAAAACATCACCAGGGAGGTGTCCAGGAGGCATCCTAAATGGATGCACCTCAACTGGTTCCTCTCGATGTGGAGGAGCCCCACCCGGATGACCGAGCTTCTCACCCTATCTATAAGGGCTGAGCCCAGCCACCCTGTGAAGAAAACTAATTTCAGCCGCTTCTATCCACGATCTCATTCTTTCAGTCACTACCCAAAGCTTGTGATCATAGGTGATGGTAGGAACACAAATCGATCGGTAAATCGAGAGCTTTTACTTCCAGCTCAGCTCTCTCTTCACAACAACAGATCGGTACAACGCCTGCATCACTGCAGACGCAGCACCTATCCACCTATCGATTTCACGCTACATCTTTCCCTCTATCATGAACAAGACCCTGAGATACTTAAACACCTCCACTTGGGGCAGGACCTCATCCCTGACCAGGACAAGGCATTCTATCATTTTCTGATTGGAGACCATGGTATCGGATTTAGAAAACACACCCTCACAATCTATTGTGTACCTCCTGACATAAATAAATGAATCTAGCCCTCTATTCAGCTACTTCATTCTACCATGCATGACTTACTGTGTTGAAGTCTGGGGGAACACATACAAGACAACTCTATATATCTTATTCTAAAATAGGCCATACGAATAATCAACACATAATATAATGCTGAACCAACAAATGTTCTTTTCATCAAATTAAAATGATTGAAATTTGGAGACCTGGTTAACTTCAAAATACTTCAGTTTCTGTTCAAAGTCAAAAATCAACAATTACTGAACTTATACACATAAATCAGTAAATTAACTGCATAAAATGTATTGATTCTTGTCAAACTTAAACCTTAGTGCCTATTCTCTACCAGTCTGAGCTTTAGAAACACTGGTACAGATGTCTTTTAACACACACACACACACACACACACACACACACACACACACACACACACACACACACACACACACACACACACAGCTGAGAGCCAGGGCTGGACTGGGACAAAAATTCAGCCCGGGCATTTTGATTGGAGACCGGCCCATCACCTGGGTTTTTGGAAAAGACATTAAGCCTTACGCTGTTTCTGACACACACCAACGTACACTTTCTTATTGGTAATATTTATGTATCAATCTAATAAACGTAAACCTACACCATCCTTCCTATCCTGGTATTCTAAAAAAGTAGGGTTGGGGGCAAATGATTATTTTTAAAGTGATTATTCTGACGATTATTTTATCGAGTAGTCAACTATTCTAATGACTATTTAGATTATTAATTTAGCGATTATTTTTCTATTGCACAATTAATAAAAACCAAAAAATCTCAAATAAATTCCTCCAAAAAATTGATAAGTTGTTACTGTAAGAGAATAAACACTACAGGCCTTCCATTTTGTATAACACTGCTTTTATTGTGTTGCGGTTGTTTATATTCTGGTGACGTGTAGATCATGCAGGCTGCTGCCTGAGAAGTGGTTGGAGACGGAGTGTCTCCATGCTGCTTTGTTTTGGTCACTTATGTGCATGAGGCAAGTGGTGTTACGACCCTTCCTGGGGAGTCATGTGTAAAGGGTTAAATTTACCTAAATATTACCTTATTTATTATCTCTTGATGTTATTAGTCCCTATTTCTGTGGTTAATTGACAATAGTTTCCTGAAATGTTTCTCCTATTTTAACTGTAAATCCTTCTAGCTGTTATATTTATAACAAGAAACAGATATTCGGACGGAATATTTTCATGTTTATTCGAATATGATTGTGGAACACACCCAGCATCATAATAAATGAAGTCATATTTATGCCAATTTAAGCCTTTATGGGTGACCAGGACTCTGTAATCAATTTTTGGCAAGGGAAATTATCTTTTTTTTTGCCATTTTTGGGGTGTTTATGATGATACAGTAGACAGTATGAGTACAGTAACATCAACAGATAATACATAAAACCCTTATTTGGTCAATTTTAGCCTCCATGAAAATCTGAGCGATTCAATCACTTTTTGGCAAGTAAAATGCCATTTTAGTTGTCTACAATTAAATCATCAATAAAGAATTTAAAGACATTTTGAGGCGTTTCTTATAGGTAAACAGGAGGGTGTAGTCTCTATTTGGCAAGTGAAAATCTTAATTGTATGTGCTGATGTGCTTTTATCTTGTTACTTTTAAATAGAGCAACGTAATGTATAGATAGTAACCTACACAGTGTCATTAAAGCCAAAGCTTGATCAGTTTAAATACTGTTTTTCAAGTAAAAATGTGCCCCAAACTAGTTAACCGTGGCTCCATGTCAAGTGGACTAAAGAAAGGAAGGGGAAAAAATTAAATCGCTGGAGAATTGTTTATTTCCATTTATACAACGTTTACATTCAATACATGGTGCCATTTTACATTGTTTATTTATTTTTTTAGTATCAAGGCTGTAACATAAAGAAAGCCAGTTCTTACTACAAACCATCTTTCAATCGCAAATATTGCAAAAAGGATTAATATATCCTCATTGTGAACGTTTAAGACAAATAGCAACACTTAAAACAACTTCCGAACTGGAAAAACTTATGTGGCAAGGTGAAGAAACAATGCCCGAGCGGGATTCGATCTCCAGACCTCTGGGGAGAGAGTCATACGCTCTAACCAGTCAGCCAAAGGGACATCCCGTAGGTGAGTAGCCAGGGCGCAAGATCAATCGGGACATTGTGACAGGATGCTCACACTGTCACATCTTCCTCCCTCTTTCCACAAGTACGTCCTCGAGCGCCCGCGCAGGGTGCCACAAACACTGCCACACTAATATCCGCGATAAACATCTGTTTAAGTACCGGAAGAGGTTATCTTTGCTTTCTGAATGTCCATATTGCTAGATATGCCGAGTTTTAGGGCGAAATCCTGGGGAATTTTGTCTAGAAATGCAATTACCTAACCGTGCGCGATCCCGCGGTGGCTAATCATTTTTTGGCAGCGAGTCGATTAATGGCACAACACCGGCTCGGGTTTCTCCTCCTCCTCCCTCTTTTCTTCTCCAACCTGTCGCTGGGCTGAGGCTCCATCACTTCCTAAATTGATTTTACTTGAACCTTCACTACCAAACAACTGTGAGATTTTAACACATGTGCCAGCATCAGCCTGAAGGGCCAGTTTCTTTTTTAGTCGAATTTTCTCCGCTCCTGCTTTCCGTTTTTTGTTCTCCATTTTGTAAAGCTCGTCTGTCTGTTTACTGAGATTCACAAACAACTGGCGGGTGCATCAGACCTCTGGCTATTGGTCCAGCCCAGAGTGTATTGTTACCAATTGGCCAATCCACCAACTTTTACGAGGCGTCGCGTGGGGCGGCGCGGACAAGTTGTCAGCAACAACTAGAGGCCAGAAAAAAAAAAAAAAAAAAAAAAAAAAAGACACCGGCCCATAAAAGATGAAAGGGTCGGCCCAGCGGGCAATTGCCCGCTATGCCCTATGGTCAGTCCAGCAGTGCTGAGAGCTAGAGGTGTATCAAATGTCCCACAGGCACTTTTTAGTTATATATTTATAATTAAAGTAAACTTATTTAAATTTCATCTAGAGGTGGCCATATCGTTTATTTCTTGTCCAGAGAAAAAAAATCTATCATGTTAAGCTAAATTTATGATGATGTAATTGCATCTGCTGAAGCTCACATGGGTCATGCACCGTGGAGTTATTAGTCATTAGGGCAAACATGGCTGGAATCTAACCCCCAAATTCCACTACCTCCGCTCCGCTCCGGTCCTTCCCCGCCTTCCGCAGCCGCTCGCTTCCGAACTCAATTTTTACTGGTACCCGCTCTACAACGGCTCCGCTCCGGTGCGGAGACCTGAGGGGGGCAAACAAGCATGCGCGGGATTTTCGAGATCTTGCG